TTCTATCCCTCTGTTTATGCAGCCTAGAACTGTGTTGGCTTTTTTGGCTGCTGCTGCACACTGGTGGATCATATTTAAGTGGTTGTCCACTAGGACTCCAATATCCCTCTCACAATTACTACTATTGAGGAAGGTACCACCTGTGCATTTTGTTTTTCTTGCCTAAATGTAGAACCTTACTTTTTCACCATTGAATTTCATTTTGTTAGATAGTGCCCAATATTCAAGTTTGTCAAGATCCTTCTGTATCTTTAGCCTATCTTCTGGAGTGTTGGCTATTCCTGCTTAAGTTAAGATAGTCCTTAACTTATGACCGGCTCAAACAGTTCAAAGTTATGGCAGACCTTCCCAGAGGTATTTGCAATGTGTTTTTGAAAGTGCAACAGCCACAGCTTCTGGTCACATGGTCAATTCTGGGTGCTTGGCAACCAGCTCAGCTTTATGGCCATTTGCAGCATCTTCTAGTGATGTGACTGCACTTTATAACAATTTTTGCTGGTTTCCTACACTTCCAGTTTTTGGCAATAAATGCCCATTGTGGAAAATGGATTTGCTTAACGACTGCAGTGGTTGCTTAATGACTTCTGATTGAGGTCTGATTTGTAACAGTAATCCAATGCTCGATTATAGCTGTAAGCCAAGCACTTCCTGTACAACTGTGCCTGTATGGTGGAAGATCAGTTCTCAGCATTTCTTGCGATATTAAATTATGGATTGTTGCCTCCTTGGAATTGTGCAGCTCCTTCAACCCCCGCCTCAGAGAAATGATAAATGTCTTACCTTTTCTACATAGTAGCCTGTCCCTACATCTAACAATACATGGCTCCCGTCGGAAAGCTTCCCAGGAACATACATCTGTAAAGAAAGGTTAAGGAAAAGCACAAGAGCTTGGCAGAATCAAGCACAATCAAGAGGAAAAAAGAATTAAATTTCTAGTCCAAAGAGAAAATCCCACATTGGAGAAAATAAAAAACTCACAAGCATTGCTAGGTTATAACCCTCATGTATGCTGATGAAGAAACAATATTAGACCGAATTGACCGAATTGTTATAATAGCTGAAATAATATTATAAAGCATGGTATCAGTTTTTCTTCACTAAGGAAAATAAATATTGCGAAACAATAAGAGTTATGAGTACTTTGGGAATTTTTTGGAGCTTTAGTTTTGGGTGATTTACGTTAATAGTTCTATGAGACCACTTTATACCAGCCTGGTATTTCCTGATTGTCTCCCCTTTAAGTAGGGGAGATCTAAGCTCACAGTTATTTTTTAATTGAGCCAGAGAATTGCCATCTGTATCCAAAAATATACTCACACCTCCCCACTTGTGCTATACATTGAAAAAACCTAAAACAATGCATATTTTTGTAGCTCTCTTAAGTCAGGGGTGTCAAACTCGCAGCCTACAGCCCGCATGTGTCACACGCTGGCTAGGCCCACCCCCGTTTTAGCAAAGGGGGAAAAGGTCATGTGATGATGTGGGTTTGCCCCCCCTGCTCTAAGTAAAGGACACAATTCTAGTGTTCCCCAATGTTAAAAAACGGGAGATTCTTAAGGGTTTATATTTATGTAACCTATGTAGCTCCATATTAAAAGTTTCTTTTGCTTCTCTAGTGTCTTAAAAACCCAAAATGTTCTAATCAAGGTAAGTCACAGAGGTTCCATCCAAATCATAGGTACAGAACTAACCTGCAAAAAATATCATTTAACAGAAGGCTGCAGGAGGAAATTTATTTATACCAATACATCATGAGCTGAATGAAAAGATGCCTCTTCCCCTTAAAAAAAAGTTTTCTCTCTTGGAGAACTTGAATTAGAACATTTTGGGTTTNTTGACTATCAATAGGTGTTGTATCTTTTTATTCTTGATGAATGTATTTTATTCTTCTTATGTATACTGAGAGCATATGCATCAAAGACAAATTCCTTGTGTGTCCAATCACACTTGGCCAATAAAGAATTCTATTCTATTCTATTCTATCCTATTCTATTCTATTCTTATATTTGCTTTATATTAAATAATTTGCTATTTATCCCATTAAAAATATTTGGAGACTTTTCAAAGGTGCTTGGAAGCCATAACACTATAGTCTCTGTTTTATATTTAATTTTGATTTGACTTCAATTATATGCTTTATTTTAGTTTTTATGATGTCTTTAACGTTAAGACAGTAACAAAATCACCATAGCTTAACTCTTTGAAAGAAAAATATCCAAGTTTTCTATTAGGACCATGCAACAATCCAACTTCAAAAGGAAAAATAATGATTTAGAGCATTTGCAGTGCAGAAATAGCACTTGCTGGCCCTTCCTTAAAGCAAATACATCTTGTTTAAAGAGTTACTAACAGGTGCTATATGAGTACCTGCATGCTCTAAATTACCTTTTGTCTTCTAATCATGATCGCTGTGTAGTCCAACTGTTTATAGTACTTCGCAGTGCAATTCAAACTTATTCCTGAAGTAAAGATTCTTATGACTAAAACTGCATGCAGCATTTCTCTGCTATCACTGAATATTCATATCAGCTTCCTTCCAGATGTAACATCATATTCCCAAATCAAATCTTACATTGCTATTTTTAACCCAAAATAATCTAATCACTCAATATCTGATTATTTTAAGTGTTTGCTGGTATTTGAATATTCTTTAAGTATCTCTGGCATATTTTCTATGAATCTGAGATGGATTTCATTTCATGTACATTTGATGTCTCCATTTTACAGTCAAAGAGTACGCTTTTAAAATTTTCTAGAGTTATTTTACAGACATAGTACAGTATTTGTTTTAAAAAAGAACTTTAGCTTCATTATATTTGAGCAATTTGTTTTTATCATTTATCATATACAGTACCTAAATGTCAATATTACAGAGACACAAGAATATTAAGTAATGATCCCAAAAGAATTTGTGGATCAAAAGGAATTGAATAGAAACTGGCCTGTTCTAACACAAGTAATAGCAATAGCACTTAGACTTATATACCGCTTCATAGTGCTTTACAACCCTCTCTAAGAGGTTTACAGAGTCAGAATATTGCCCCCAACAATCTGGGTCCTCATTTTACCAACCTCTGAAGGTTGGAAGGTTGAGTCAATCTTGAAGCACTCAGAAACAACTCCTGGAGTGAGCAGTGAGTTAGCTTGTAATACTGTATTCTAACCACTATGACACCACAGCTCTTAAGTAATGTATGTGTGCGCCTTTAAGTCAGAATTGTCAGGGCAATTCCAAGATGGCCTATGAAAGGAACATTATGGTTGGTGTCCCCACCCCACCAGCTTTTTTTGTTCCTTCAAGTCAGTGTTAGTTATCTGTAGTTATCTTGGCAAGATTTTCAGAAGTAGTTTGGCATTGGCTTCTTCCTAGGGCTGAGAGAGCCCAAGGTCACTGAGCTGGCTTTATCCCCATGGCAATACTAGAATTCCTGGTTTCTCTCCTCTACCACTATACAAAACTGACTCTCTATTACAAGTGATGCTATGCACAATTAGTTTTTGAACATTTAGAAATCATTCATGGAGCTAAACTTCATCTTGGGAGTTCGAAATAAGGACTCCCAATGTTGGTAGTATGTGGGTATACTACATCATTTGATTCTATTTCACCTTGATCCTTAGAATATTTTCTTAATATATGAAACTTGAGAAGTACAATCATCAGTATTAAAAAGTACAAAACGTAAGTCTACTGTGAACATGTATATAGCAGTATCTATAGAAATTCTTATATAGTTTATATTCTTAATGTGTTATTTTAGGTATACATTCTACTGAACTAAGATGGCTGGAACTCTTTGGGTTATGGTATATGAATACTGTTTCCTAGTGCTTTCTTTCTCAGCCAATTATGTTCCTGGGCAAGAGGGGCATTGTGTCATGTGCACAATGGCACAATGATGTGCACAATGTCATTTTGACATCAAAGTGGCTTCTACCATGTATTTGCCCAGAGAAATGTCATACAACAGCATTCACTTCACATATCAAACAACTATAGATAGTGCTGGCCATTAATGTACTCTACTATTGTGATATTGTATCTCAAAAAAGCTAAGAAAATTAAGATGTCACGTTCTGGCGTTCACGTTGCATACAAACAGAGATTCAGTTTGTTTGGTGAAAAACTTTTATCTCTATCTAAGAAACTACGTGATAACCAGCACTAAATGACAATGATACAAAGGTAATCAAATCCAAATCAGTTCTAACCAAGTTCTAACACCATCACCCATATATATAAATATATATATATATACACACACACACACACACACACACAC